GATTGAGCTAGCTAGATTGGAAAATGAAAAGGATAGATAGATAGATAGATAGATAGATAGATAGATAGATATAGAAAAAAAGACGCAAATAGATTGATCGATAGACAGACTGAGAGAGAGTCAGATATAACGATAGATACATGAAAAAAAGGATTGAGCTAGCTAGATTGGAAAATGAAAAGGGAGATAGATAGATAGATAGATAGATAGATAGATAGATAGATAGATAGATAGATAGATAGATATGAAAAGACGCAAATAGATTGATCGATAGACAGACTGAGAGAGAGAGTCAGATATAACGATAGATACATGAAAAAGGATTGAGCTAGCTAGATTGGAAAATGAAAAGGAGATAGATAGATAGATAGATAGATAGATAGATAGATAAAAAGACGCAAATAGATTGATCGATAGACAGACTGAGAGAGAGTCAGATATAACGATAGATACATGAAAAAGGATTGAGCTAGCTAGATTGGAAAATGAAAAGGAGATAGATAGATAGATAGATAGATAGATAGATAGATAGATAGATAGAAAAAGAAAAAGACAAAAATAGATTGATCGATAGACAGACTGAGAGAGAGAGAGATATAACGATAGATACATGAAAAAGGATTGAGCTAGCTAGATTGGAAAATAGATAGATAGATAGATAGATAGATAGATAGATAGATAGATAGAACGATAGAAAAAAATAGCTAAAAATAGATTGATAGATAGATAGACAGACTGAGAGAGAGACAGATATAACAGATGAGAGAGAGTAGATATAACGATAGATACATGAAAAGGATTGAGCTAGCTAGATTGGAAAATGAAAAGGAGATAGATAGATAGATAGATAGATAGATAGATAGATAGATAAAAAGACGCAAAATAGATTGATCGATAGACAGACAGACTAGAGAGAGAGTCAGATATAACGATAGATACATGAAAAAGGATTGAGCTAGCTAGATTGGAAATGAAAAGGGAGATAGATAGATAGATATAGATAGATAGATAGAGATAGATAGATAGATAGATATGAAAAGACGCAAATAGATTGATCGATAGACAGACTGAGAGAGAGTCATATAACGAACGATAGATACATGAAAAGGATTGAGCTAGCTAGATTGGAAAATGAAAAGGAGATAGATAGATAGATAGATAGATAGATAGATAGATAGATAGATAGATAGATAGATATGAAAAGACGCAAATAGATTGATCGATAGACAGACTGAGAGAGAGTCAGATATAACGATAGATACATGAAAAAGATTGAGCTAGCTAGATTGGAAAATGAAAAATGATAGATAGATAGATAGATAGATAGATAGATAGATAGATAGATAGAAGAAAAAAAAGACGCAAATAGATTGATCGATAGACAGACTGAGAGAGAGTCAGATATAACGATAGATACATGAAAAGGATTGAGCTAGCTAGATTGGAAAATGAAAAGGGAGATAGATAGATAGATAGATAGATAGATAGATAGATAGATAGAAAGATAAGATAGATAGATAGACAGACTGAGAGAGAGTCAGATATAACGATAGATACATGAAAAAGATTGAGAGAGAAAATGAGAAGGAGATAGATATAGATAGATAGATAGATAGAAAAGATAGATAGATAGATAGATAGATAGAAAAGACGCAAATAGATTGATAGAAAGACAGACTAGAGAGAGAGATAATAATATAGATAGATAAAAGATTGAGCTAGATAGATTGGAAAATGAAAAGGAGATAGATAGATAGATAGATAGATAGATATAGATAGATAGATAGATATGAAAAAGATAAATAGATTGATCGATAGACAGACTGAGAGAGAGTCAGATATAACGATAGATACATGAAAAGGATTGAGCTAGCTAGATTGGAAAATGAAAAGGAGATAGATAGATAGATAGATAGATAGATAGATAGATAGATAGATAGATATGAAAAAGACGCAAATAGATTGATCGATAGACAGACTGAGAGAGAGTCAGATATAACGATAGATACATGAAAAAGGATTGAGCTAGCTAGATTGGAAAATGAAAAGGGAGATAGATAGATAGATAGATAGATAGATAGATATGAAAAAGACGCAAATAGATTGATCGATAGACAGACTGAGAGAGAGTCAGATATAACGATAGATAAATTGAAAAGATTGAGATATAACTAGATTGATGAAAAGATGAAAAGATAGATAGATAGATAGATAGATAGATAGATAGAAAAAAAGATATAACAGATAGATAACGATAGATACAAAAGGCTTTATTGAGATAGATTGGAAAATGAAAAGGAGATTGATAGATAGATAGATAGAGAAAAAGAGATAGATAGATTGGAAAATGAAAAAATAGATAGAGATAGATAGATAGAAAGAAAGATTTTTCGAATTGAGATAGACAGACTAGATATAACGATAGATACATGAAAAGGATTGAGATAGATTGGAAAATAAAAGGAGATAGATAGATAGATATAGATAGATAGATAGATAGATAGATATGAAAAAAAGACAAATAGATTGATCGATAGACAGACTGAGAGAGAGTCAGATATAACGATAGATACATGAAAAAGGATTGAGCTAGCTAGATTGGAAAATGAAAAGGAGATAGATAGATAGATAGATAGATAGATAGATATAGATAGATAGATAGATAAAAAAAAGACGCAAATAGATGAATCGATAGACAGACTGAGAGAGAAGATATAACGATAGATACATGAAAAGGATTGAGCTAGCTAGATTGGAAAATGAAAAGAGAGATAGATAGATAGATAGATAGATAGATAGATAGATAGATAGATAGATAGATATGAAAAAAGACGCAAATAGATTGATCGATAGACAGACTGAGAGAGAGAGATAGATAAAATAGATACATGAAAAAGATGAGCTAGCTAGATTGGAAAATGAAAAGGAGATAGATAGATAGATAGATAGATAGATAGATAGATAGATAGATAGATAGATAGAAAAAAAAGACGCAAATAGATTGATCGATAGACAGACTGAGAGAGAGAGTCAGATATAACGATAGATACATGAAAAGGATTGATTGAGCTAGATTGGAAAATAAAACAGGAGATAGATAGATAGATAGATAGATAGATAGATAGATAATAAAAAGACGCATATAGATAAATCGATAGACAGACTGAGAGAGAGAGTCAGATAGATACATGAAAAACAATTGAGCTAGCTAGATTGGAAAATGAAAAGGGAGATAGATAGATAGATAGATAGATAGATAGATAGATAGATATGAAAAAGACGCCAATAGATTGATCGATAGACAGACTGAGAGAGAGTCAGATATAACGATAGATACATGAAAAAGGATTGAGCTAGCTAGATTGAAAATGAAAAGGAGATAGATAGATAGAAGATAGATAGATAGATAGATAGATAGATAGATAGATAAAAAAAGACGCAAATAGATTGATCGATAGACAGACTGAGAGAGAGTCAGATATAACGATAGATACATGAAAAAATAGATTGAGCTAGATTGAGATTGGAAAATGAAAAGAAGATAGATAGATAGATAGATAGATAGATAGATAGATAGATATAGATAGATAGATAAAAAAGATTGCAAATAGATTGAAAATCCGATTCTAGATAGACAGACTGAGAGAGAGATTGAAGATATAACGATAGATACATGAAAAGGATTGAGCTAGCTAGATTGGAAAATGAGCTAGATTGGAAAATGAAAAGGGAGATAGATAGATAGATAGATAGATAGATAGATAGATAGATAGATAGATAGAAAAAGAAAAAGACGCAAATAGATTGATCGATAGACAGACTGAGAGAGAGTCAGATATAACGATAGATACATGAAAAAGGATTGAGCTAGCTAGATTGGAAAATGAAAAGGAGATAGATAGATAGATAGATAGATAGATAGATAGATAGATAGAAAGATAGACGCAAATAGATTGATCGATAGACAGACTGAGAGAGAGTCAGATATAACGATAGATACATGAAAAAGGATTGAGCTAGCTAGATTGGAAAAAAAATAGATAGATAGATAGATAGATAGATAGATAGATAGATAGATAGAAAAAGAAAAGACGCAAATAGATTGATCTGATAGACAGACTGAGAGAGAGTCAGATATAACGATAGATACATGAAAAAGGATTGAGCTAGCTAGATTGGAAAAAAAAAGGAGATAGATAGATAGATAGATAGATAGATAGATAGATAGATAAATAGATTGATCGATAGACAGAAGAGAGAAATAACGATAGATAAAAAAGGATTGAGCGATTTTGAGAAAAGGAGAGATAGACTGAGAGAGATAGATAGATAGATAGATAGATAAAATAGAAATTTTAAAACGATAGATAAGATAGATAGATAGATAGATTGAGATAGATAGATAGATAGATAGAGATAGATAGATAGATAGATAGATAGATAATAGATAGATAGATAGATAGATAGAAAAGACAGATTGATCGATAGACAGACTGAGAGAGATAGATACATAAAAAGATAGATACAGATTGGAAAAATTAAAAGAAAATTCGAGATAAAAAATAGAAAGATATAAAAAAATTTATAGATTATAGAAAAAAGACGCAAAATAGATAATCGATAGAATTCGACTTAAAAAAAATATAATTTCAAAAAAAAAAAAAATATTTGAGTCTGAAAGGAGATAATTAAAATTAAATTCAATAATAGTCGACTGAATTTAAATTGGATTAAATAAAAAAAATAAATACTTTATTAATGTTATAAAAGATAAGAAGGAAAAAAAAGGAAGAGAGAGATTGAAGGAAGGGAAAATAATAGGGATAGATAGATAGATAGAGATAGGGATAATTTTTTTTCATAAACAGATAGATTCACCGATAGAGAGAAAATGAGAGAGAGAGAGAGAGAGATAGATTTAGATGAAAAGAAATAACAAGCGAGGAAAATAAGTGAAGGGAGGAATGTTCAATAAGAGACAAAAAGAAAAAATTTTTTAATAGAAAAATTTTTTAATGATATGAAAGAGAGAGAATCCCTAGATAGATAGATAGATAGAGAGATAATAGAAGATTATTTAGATAGATAGATAGATAGATAGATAAGATAGATGAATGGGATAATTTTTTTTGAAACAGATAGATTAATGAGAGAGATAGATAGATAGATAGATTTCATAGATAGAAAGATAGATAAGATAGAGGGAGATAGAATAAGAGAGAGATAGATAGATAGATAAATAGAGAGAGATAGATAGAGAAAAGAGAGAGAGAGAGATAGATAGATAGATAGATAGAGAGAGAATAAAAAGATTCTAGAATATGAATTCGAAAAAAAGAAAGATTTTTTAAACGTTCTTTTGTTGTCTTTTTAATAAGCGGACCACTTTACTTAAGTAGTGCCTCGTCTTCCTTTTTAAATCCTACAACAAACCTTAAGGAAGTAGAGAGGAAATCGGGGAGGGCGGTGAACAAAAAACTTATCGTCTTCTTTCTTTTGTTCAATAAGAAATGAAGAAGAAGAAGAAGAAGAAGAAGAAGAAGAAGAAGAAGAAGAAGAAGAAGAAGAAGAAGAAAAGAAGAAGAAGAAGAAGAAGAAGAAGAAGAAAAGAAAACAAAGAAAAATGAACGAGTCAGACAAGAAAGTTTTTGCTGTGAAAAAACCTTAAAATGGTGAAGAAATGATAAAAAAAACTTATTTCGAATCATGAGAGAGAAAAAGAAAGAGAGAGAAGAAGAGAGAGAAGAAAGAGAAAGAAAGAGGAGAAGAGAGAGAGAAAAAGAAAAGAAAACGAGAGAGAAAAAAGAAAGAGAAAGAGAGAGAGAAAAAGAGAGAAAGAAAGAAAAGATAGAGAGAAGAGAGAGAGAGAGAGAGAAGAGAAGAGAGAGAGAGATAGAGAACAAAGATACTGACCGAATTTTCGGAAGGGTTTCAAAGAGATTTTTACAAGCAGATAAGGAAATTCGGGGGCAAAATAACTTATCGTCTGCTTTATTCAATAACAAATCAACAAATTGAAGACAACGAGTCAGACGAACATTTTCGATTAAAAAAAAAAAAAAGCAAAAATTAAATTCAATTTTTTTTTTTCTAAAAAAATGGATTTAATAATAATAATTTTTTTTTTTTTTTTCAGACTTAAAACCCGCCCCCCCTTTGCGTCGTAGTGGCTTTCTTGCCTTCATTGGGTTGAAATGATTAAAAAAAAAAAGGAAGAAAAAAGTTTTGTTGTGTTGATGGAAAAACATTTAAGAAGAAGGTTGAATGATTTGGAGAAACGATAAGAAAATTCTTACTTACATTTGATTTTGATTTTCACTTTTGGGATGAAAAGAAGCGAGACGGAAAACAAAACACGTCTTGTCTGTTGAATTTTCTGAAAGCAAACTGCAAAGGGCGTCGGCCGTACGGATGACGTCATCGGAATACAAGGCATTTCATTGGACGAGAATAATCACGCCACCTGGACACGTGACTATCAACTTTTTTATTAATTCTTGGTAAAATAAAATAAAAAAAAACTTATTAAAAATAAAAAAATAGTATAAAATAAAAAGACGACTATATAATATTTTATTAGTTAATATTAGTATAAAACTAATTAATTAAATTTATTTTTTGTGCAAAATAAAAAAAGTATTTTTTTATTTCCACATTAAATTTTCTTATTGTAAAATTTAAAAATCTTTTTTATTTAATATTTTGAGTTTTTTAATTAATTATTATTTTTAATTATTTTATACGACTGACTAATAAGTTTTTTATAAACAGATACAAATTTAATTATTTCCGATTAATTGTTTTAAAAAATTAAAAATACATGTTAAAAAAGAAATTCGATTCGGGTTTACAAGATGACTTGTATTAAAATAATATTTTATCGGTAAGAAGTAATTAAAGTATTAAGTAATCTTATTAAAGTATAAATAAAGTAGAAGTAATATTATTAAAATAATTTATGTATTTAAGTAATATTATTAAAGTATTAATTAATATTATTAAAGTAAAATTAATTAATATTTTAATCGATAATTAAAAAAAAAAAAAATTCTTTTTTTTTTTGACTCATGGAATTAAAAAGGAAAATCCAAAATATTTCAATTAATAAAAAAACTTTTGAAATCTGGTTTTTAATAATAAAAAAAAAGGTCAAAATAATTTTGATTAAATTTTCAAAAATCTAAAAAGTTTTTTGAATTTCATGATTTGAAAGAAAGAAAAAAATGAAACTAATTTTATTTGTGAAATTCCGAGAAATATGGATTTTACAAACACGAAGTAGTAAACAAATTATTATTCATCAGGGATTTCCGATGACCTTTCACCTCGAACAAAGGTCAACAGACACTCTGACAGCCAGCCAGCCAGACAGACAGATAGATAGATAGATAGATAGATAGATAGATAGATAGATAGATAGATAGATAGATAGATAGATAGATGAGATAGATAGACAGAAAGAGAGACGAATGGAAAATGTACAGAAAAGAATGTGGACATTTGTTGAGTTGAAAAGGAAATACACAAGAACCCCCCCCCCCGACCTCTCAGAGAGACAAATTAAACATGAGGGTGCGTCAATTTGGTAATAGCTGCCTTCTTTTCTTCTCTCCATCAATAATTTTTAATATGTGCTGTGTCCGTTACAGGATGTTCGTGATCATGGCTCTCCACAATTTCCTCACCTTTGTAGCTCTCTTTTTTTGTGCTAAAAATTCTTATTTACACAAATAAAAATTCATAAAATGTGAAAATTTTTTTTATTCTATATTTTTTTTTTTTTAATTATTATTTTTAATTATTTTATAATCTTAACTAATAATTTTCTAAACGGATAAAAATTAATTAGTAGATTTCTGATTAATTCTTTAATTAATTAATTAACAAGTAATTAATATTAAAAATGCTGAAAATTGAAATTCTTCTCGGGTTTAAGATTCGATAATAAAAACAAAAAATAAACTTTTTTTTTTTTCTCATTCGTAGAATTAAAAAAAAAAAAATTTCTAGCTATAAATATAAATTTGTTTTTTTTTTTTTTTTATTTTTTTATTTTTTTTAACAAAAAAAAATTATGGCTCTCCACAATTTCCTCTCCTTTCTAGAATCATTGGATTGTAACAACGGGTCACATGTCATTTCGACCCTGACCAAAGCCAAAAAAATTAAGGACACACCCACCTATTTCTGGGTCAGTGTCCATTTTCCCACCCCCTATCTTTATTTATTTAATTTTTCTTTTTAATCTGGATTTCGTTTCTTAATCTTCTTATCTTATTTCACAAGATAAACCAAAAATTCCTTTAATGAAATTTGAGTGAAACTAAAATAAAAATATTTAGTAAAAAGAAATGAAGTAAAGTTCAAAGATAGAAACTATGAAAGGACATTTTAGCTCTTAAATATACTGACTTCATTCTTTCTTTTTTCTATGAGAATTGGATATTAAATGGGAAATAAATGCAGTACCACAAATGAAAATATACATCATGTTCTATTTTAAGGATTATGTCACCATTCAGGATGTTAACATTATGGCTCTCCACAATTTTATTCCTTTCTAGAATCTTAATAAAATTGCTGTCCATTCAGGATGTTGACGATTATAAATTTCCTCTCCTTTCTATCTTAATATATATACTGGAACGTTGATTATTTTCTTTCAAATTTCGATTATGGCTCTCCACAATTTCCTCTCTCATTCTTTTTTTTTCTATGTTGTTGACGATTATGGCTCTCCAAATTTCCTCTCCTTTCTAATTCTTAATATATACTGACTCTCATTCTTTCTTTTTTCTATGTGCTGTGTCCATTAAGAATGTCGACGATTATGGCTCTCCACAATTTCCTCTCCTTTCTAGCTCTTAATATATACTGACTCTCATTCTTTTTTTTCTATGTGCTGTGTCCATTCAGGATGTTGGCGATTATGGCTCTCCACAATTCCTCTCCTTTCTAGCTTTAATATATACTGACTCTCATTCTTTCTTTTTCTATGTGCTGTGTCCATTCAGGATGTTGGAGATTATGGCTCTCCACAATTCCTCTCCTTTCTTTTCTTTTTTTTCTATGTGCTGTGTCCATTCAGGATGTTGGCGATTATGGCTCTCCACAATTTCCTCTCCTTTCTAGCTCTTAATATATACTGACGCTCATTCTTTCTTTTTCTATGTGCTGTGTCCATTCAGGATGTTGGCGATTATGGCTCTCCACAATTTCCTCTCCTTTCTAGCTCTTAATATATACTGACTCTCATTCTTTCTTTTTCTATGTGCTGTGTCCATTCAGGATGTTGACGATTATGGCTCTCCACAATTTCCTCTCCTTTCTAGCTCTTAATATATACTGACTCTCATTCTTTCTTTTTATGTGCTGTGTCCATTTAGGATGTGGGCGATTATGGCTCTCCACAATTTCCTCACCTTTCTAGCTCTTAATATATACTAACTCTCATTCTTTCTTTTTCTATGTGCTGTGTCCATTCAGGATGTTGACGATTATGGCTCTCCACAATTTCCTCTCCTTTCTAGCTCTTAATATATACTGACTCTGATTCTTTCTTTTTTTATGTGCTGTGTCCATTCAGGATGTTGGCGATTATGGCTCTCCACAATTTCCTCTTTTTTCTAGCTCTTAATATATACTGACACTCATTCTTTCTTTTTCTATGTGCTGTGTCCATTCAGGATGTTGGCGATTATGGCTCTCCACAATTTCCTCTCCTTTCTAGCTCTTAATATATACTGACTCTCATTCTTTCTTTTTCTATGTGCTGTGTCCATTCAGGATGTTGACGATTATGGCTTCTCCTTTCTATTTCCTCTCCTTTCTTTCTTTTTTTAATATATACTGACTCTCATTCTTTCTTTTCTTTTTTCTATGTGCTGTGTCCATTCAGGATGTTGGATTTTATGGCTCTCCACAATTTCCTCTCCTTTCTTCCTCTTAATATATATACTGACTCTCATTCTTTCTTTTTTCTATGTGCTGTGTCCATTCAGGATGTTGACTCCTTTATGGCTCTCCATTCAATTTCCTCTTCAGGATTCTAGCTAGCTCTTAATATATACTGACTTTCATTCTTTCTTTTTTTCTTTTTTGTGCTGTGCTGTGTCCATTCAGGATGTTGGCGATTATGGCTCTCCACAATTTCCTCTCCTTTCTAGCTCTTAATATATACTGACTCTCATTCTTTTTTTTTTTTTCTATGTGCTGTGTCCATTCAGGATGTTGGCGATTATGGCTCTCCACAATTTCCTCTCCTTTCTAGCTCTTAATATATACTGACTCTCATTCTTTCTTTTTCTATGTGCTGTGTCCATTCAGGATGTTGACGATTTGGCGATTATGGCTCTCCACAATTTCCTCTCCTTTCTAGCTCTTAATATATACTGACTCTCATTCTTTCTTTTTTTTTTCTATGTGCTGTGTCCATTCAGGATGTTGGCGATTATGGCTCTCCACAATTTCCTCTCCTTTCTAGCTCTTAATATATACTGACTCTCATTCTTTCTTTTTTCTGACTCTGTGTTCCATTCAGGATTTTGGCTTATGGCTCTCCACAATTTCCTCTCCATTCAGGATGTAATATATACGATTCTCATTCTTTCTTTTTCTATGTGCTGTGTCCATTTCCTTTCGGCTTATGGCTTTCTCCTTTCTAGCTCTTAATATATACTGACTCTCATTCTTTCTTTTTTCTATGTGCTGTGTCCATTCAGGATGTTGGCGATTATGGCTCTCCACAATTTCCTCTCCTTTCTAGCTCTTAATATATACTGACTCTCATTCTTTCTTTTTTCTATGTGCTGTCCATTCAGGATGTTGGCGATTATGGCTCTCCACAATTTCCTCTCCTTTCTAGCTCTTAATATATTCTCATTCTTTCTTTTTTTGGCCATTCTCCTCTCCTTTCTACAATTTCCTCTCCTTTCTAGCTCTTAATATATACTGACTTCTTTCTTTTTCTTTCTTTTTGTTGGCGATATGTGCTGTTTCCATTCAGGATGTCATTCTTTCTTTTATGGCTGTCCATTCAGGATTTCCTCTCCACAATTTCCTTTTTCTAGCTCTTAATATATACTGACTCTCATTCTTTCTTTTTCTATGTGCTGTGTCCATTCAGGATGTTGACGATTATGGCTCTCCACAATTTCCTCTCCTTTCTAGCTCTTAATATATACTGACTCTCATTCTTTCTTTTTTCTATGTGCTGTGTCCATTCAGGATGTTGGCGATTATGGCTCTCCACAATTTCCTCTCCTTTCTAGCTCTTAATATATTTCTGACTCTCATTCTTTCTTTTTTCTATGTGCTGTGTCCATTCAGGATGTTGGCGATTATGGCTCTCCACAATTTCCTCTCCTTTCTAGCTCTTAATATATACTGACTCTCATTCTTTCTTTTTTCTATGTGCTGTGTCCATTCAGGATGTTGGCGATTATGGCTCTCCACAATTTCCTCTCCTTTCTAGCTCTTAATATATACTGACTCTCATTCTTTCTTTTTCTATGTGCTGTGTCCATTCAGGATGTTGGCGATTATGGCTCTCCACAATTTCCTCTCCTTCTAGCTCTTAATATATCTGACTCTCATTCTTTCTTTTTTAGCTCTTAATATATACTCCACTTTCTCATTCTTTATATACTTTTTTTTTCTATGTGCTGTGTCCATTCAGGATGTTTGGGCTCTCCACAATTTCCTCTCCTTTCTAGCTCTTAATATATACTGACTCTCATTCTTTCTTTTTCTATGCTGTGTCCATTCAGGATTTATGGCTCTCCACAATTTCCTCTCCTTTCTAGCTCTTAATATATACTGACTCTCATTCTTTCTTTTTTTTCTATGTGCTGTGTCCATTCAGGATGTTGGCGATTATGGCTCTTTCCTCAATTTCCTCTCCTTTCTAGCTCTTAATATATACTGACTCTCATTCTTTCTTTTTCTATGTGCTGTGTCCATTCAGGATGTTGGCGATTATGGCTCTCCACAATTTCCTCTCCTTTCTAGCTCTTAATATATACTGACTCTCATTCTTTCTTTTTCTATGTGCTGTGTCCATTCAGGATGTTGGCGATTATGGCTCTCCACAATTTCCTCTCCTTTCTAGCTCTTAATATATACTGACTCTCATTCTTTTTCTTTTTTCTTCAGGATGTTGCTGTGTCCATTCAGGATTTTGACTCTTATTATGGCTCTTCCTTTTTTCTACAATTTCCTCTCCTTTCTAGCTCTTTATATATATACTGACTCTCATTCTTTCTTTTTCTATGTGCTGTGTCCATTCAGGATGTTGGCGATTATGGCTCTCCACAATTTCCTCTCCTTTCTAGCTCTTAATTTATACTGACTCTCTTCCTTTTTCTAGCTCCATTCAGGATGTTGGCGATTATATATCTCACAATTTCCTCTCCTTTCTTCTTAATTTTTTCATTTTTCTTTTTTTCTATGTGCTGTGTCCATTCAGGATGTTGGCGATTATGGCTCTCCACAATTTCCTC